GAGAGGTTGACACTAAAACACTAATGCCTGCATGTTACTGGGCTCCTGCAAGTTGGCTCAGACCCAAGTGAGATGCTGAATAAATGATTCCCAGATTCCTGAGTTTTACCTCTTACCTGCTTTGTGGCTTCTCACACACCTAATGGGCTCTATAAGGGAAGGGCTCTGCACTCTGCCTCTCTGTAACCAGCACAGGGCAAGTTCAGGACAAACAGATAATTAGCAATGAGAACAAAACAACAAAGCAGTTTCTAGACAGCCAGCCGAGATGGGGGACATAGTCTGGGAATAAAGAGACGGTGGTAGAGTTTTTTCTTGTGTTGGTTGAAGTTTATAGTACATAGTTTCTCCTAAGATGTGACAAGCCATTTAAGTAGATGAAAACCTGTTGCTTCCCCGAACATGGCCGGCGCAGGGAAAGCATATGCAAGTGTGGCTATGCCCAGAGCCAGCACATCGAAGGCACGCAGATCAACCAAAATGAGAAGTGGAACTACAAGAAACATACCAAGGAGTTTCCAACAGATGCCTTTGGTGACATTCAGTTTGAGACTCTGGGGAAGAAAGGCAAGGTAAGCACCTGTGTTCTGCTACTATACGGGCGAAGAGCTTGGGCTGCCCTAGTTGCCTTGAGTTGTCCCTTAGCATGGAGGTGGGGGGGATGGGCAATTACCAACAATAATTGTGGGAAAAGACAAGTTGTGAAAGACAAAAGACAGTGACTAGATTGTGCTCAGTCAGAAAACTCAGGAGTTAAGGATGGCATCATGACTGGAACTGTAATCTAGGTATGTCATGGGTCCCAGTGACATCTACTGAGACTAACTGTTAGAGGATGAGAAAATACTTTTGTGAGTAGTCCTTTTAGTTTGGGACAGTGTTCCTGAGGATATACTGTAGCTCCAACTAAGGTGACATTTCTTTATATCCATGATTTTACAAGGGTCTTTCTATTAGACACTAGTCTTCCCCAAGTGTTCCAAGCTCTATTTCAATGATAACTTAGGCCATAGGCTGGATGTCTGGACCTTGACCCCATGAGTCTCCAAGCCCTGTCTTGGTAAGTCCCTGAGCACACTCAGCTCCTCCCACTGTCTGGGGCTCTGCCTCATGATGGGCCAGTGAGTCTCCCCACAGATTGCCCATCTCCTTGGCTGATCCATGTGTGCCAGGAGAGCAGTTTGAGGACCCTTTCATCATCTCTTGTCTCCCGGGCTTCCTATACCTCAAAGACCAGGTGGGGTTTCAGGGTCTCCATCTGGCTTGTGGAACCATTCAAGGTCACTTGTCCCCTACATCTTCCTTCTACTCTCCGGTGAGGCCCTGGCAGCAGCCCGGCCTAGCACACCCTGTCCCATGCCCCAGCAGCAGGCAGCCACCCAACACTCCAGGAGCAGAGTACACAAACCTGGTGCTTTTATCCTGCCCCCACAGTATATCCGCTTGTCCTGCGACACGGACTCCGAAACCCTCTACGAACTGCTGACGCAACACTGGCACCTCAAAACACCCAACCTGGTCATTTCGGTGACTGGTGGTGCCAAAAACTTCGCTTTGAAGCCACGCATGCGCAAGATCTTCAGCCGGCTGATTTACATTGCACAGTCTAAAGGTACATAGGCACTGAGAATATACAGGGGTCATTATTCCTAGACCACCTTGCATCTTGGGGGCAGAGGACAGAATTTCCACATGCCACTTTCCCACAGAATCTAGATGTTCCCAGAACTATGGGGGTCTCTGTGGGTATGTGCACCCGAGTACAGGTACTTGCAGAGGCCAGAAGAGGGCTTTGGAGCTGGAGATACAGGTAGTTGTATGTAGGGGAACCTGTAGCCACGCCTGTTTAGGGGCTGGCTACAGGTCTGCCTGACCACGAGGGAGTGGTCAGGGTGACGTAGAGAGTTGGTCAGTGGCTGGTCAATTTCAGTTTTGGTTTCCCTTTCGGCTTGTGTACAGACTGCTGCCACGCCGGTTGGCTAGG